AACAAAAGATCACAGAACGCTTAAACCAAATCATACAGGAACTTGTTTCGTGATTATAGTTACTTGTAAATCAATGGCAATCAGTTTAAAGGTATGATATGACATTTAATGAACGTGTGGGGAAAAAATGCAAAAACTTTTTCCGGAAAAGAGAAACATTTTCGTACATTTAGGTACACATGTTCTAACGGCAAAAATCACAATACTAACGTAATTGTGTGTCAGATAAACATTACACGCTTAGGTCGGAAAAGCAAAATTTCATTCACGCAAAGTATGCCTCAAAACGGGTCATTTAATCATCTAAGGTAGTTCTTAATGTACTTTAACAGGACAATAAAGTGTCGCCACAAAAGCGGATTTTATATCGCGAGCAGAGAAAATTTCCATATAAGAGAAAAAAAAAAGAAACAGCTGTTGGCACTTACACCAACATACCCAAAGCTTTCATCGTAGTTCTTTGGTTTACCACATACTCTTTAAAACTATTATCTGTCAATTCGTACCACTGTTACATCTTTTAAGCCATTTTTCAATTCTATGAATATTCCTCTGGTCCTTGTTGAGTTCTTCAGTCGAACACGTTCGCGATGAAGCGAGGGCATAATTCAAATTCATCTGAGTCAGATGCCACTGCCTGTCCCCTTCGCGGTCACAATATTGTATATTTTCATCTGATGCACTTCGTGGGACAATTCCAGATCCATTTTCCGAAAAATCCGCAGAACAGTTCAATAAATCCCTACTTACTGATATACCGACTGCAGTTGATAGATCACAGCAACCGTCCAATTCGGAATAAAGATCTGCGCTTGTATCAGCCAGAACCATGTGAATATAATCCATTGTTTTGTACCGGCGAGCCATATTAGTGATTCGATATCTCGACCAGGCTTTTAAAAACTCTGGGCAATCATCGTACCAGATTTCTTTTTCGAGGTCGCATGGAAGACTCCGCCATCTTGGTATCCATACAGTATGATCACTTCTTTGGCTCGTTGTTAGAAACGAAATGCAAGAAAATCTATCAGTTGCCAATGAAGTCCTTGATTGTAGCTTCTTTTCGCGAAATTTCGTCGGATAGCTCGACATATCTGGAGTGATAATTACCGGAGGAGACAAAGGCAACTCGTTTTCTGTCTCCATTGTCGTTCATTTCTCGAAAATATTTCGGCACTTCAATTGTAAATATTAACTTAACAGGTTTAGTGAAGAGAGCATCTGATTAAGGCTGAGCGAATGGCATTGACACGGGTGAATATTACAATATTAAGATGGCTTGCGCTTCACATCGCTGGCGGTGTGTAATATATTCAGAAACAACAGTATTTTTGTAGTGTTACGTATGTGCGCATACTGGCCAAACTCGTAAATTGTATTCCAGCTATAAACTGTCATGCTCTGTCCTCCGATTGGCTAGATTTAAAAAAATGGAATCAAAGCCGAAACGAATCCATTGAGCAGAACAACTTAAATGTGTTTTCCGATCTCTTTTGCAGGGTGATTATCAACGGAAATACAGATTTCTGTCCGCGATTCCCTATTTGTCCACGCATTTGCTATATGGTTAAATGTCCGATGCTTTTACCGTAATTTTGCCCATTTTGTAAACAATACGTCAAAAGATTGAACCTTTGACGCATTTTGTATTTAAATCAATAGGTGTACGGGAAGTCATAGATAGACTTTCGGTTGAATTTCCATACGTTTCTGACAGCGATTATCAATTATTAACAACATTTCAATTTCAATATGTCTACAATCAAAATGAAACGGAAGCGATTACTAAAATTAACATTTTCCTTCAAAAAAAAGAAGGAAAAAAAATGTTGATAAGGATTACTCAGCCTCTTCTATGATTGTGTTGGGCCAACAGCTGAAAACAAAAAATTTGCTATGCGATATATTTGATGTTAATTGGCATTCACGTGCATTCACTTTACCAATATTAGCCGCTTTCATCTGTCTTCCAATTTCTTTTTCATTCATTTTTAAATTTCAGAAACGCAAACGATAATCAAAACTCAGGATAACCTAACATTTTTATGAGATAAAAAAAAAAAAAAGAAATTATCCTAAGAGAGATGTTATAGGTTTTTTATATCGTTATGAGTTAGTTGGAGTCGCTCAGACGAGAGACAATTTAATGCGGATTTCACTTGAAGGGAAAGATACTGGTCTCGCTTAAAACTGTATTGGCCTGTGATATCATGCTACTGTTAGTTGCTATATCGCTGACTCATGTCGTAATGCCACGCTGATCGGCGGCGTGCGTGTTCCGAACAGTGCAACGGAAAATCGGCCCGTTTTAAAGAGAACGGATAAAAACAGCCATAGCAGAATATTCCTACCAAAAAATGAAACTCACTTTTATTCGCCCATTTCTTTCGCCGGGGCTCATGAAATAAATGAATATACAAAATCTCAATGTAATCGAGTCATCCGTCTTCTGTCTGGTATATTTCTTCACAAAACTTCTTTGGCAATTTTGTTTTGTTTCCTTTTTTTTTAATCTAAAAGCAACCCTATGAAGTGAAGCAATCATGTTCCTTCCTGCGGTTAAACAAAACAAAATACATTTAAGAGCTAAATAGAAAACAATCAGTTTATTTATTTTTTTACTGAAAAACTGTTTACAGTGTTATTAATATCAACTTGAAAATATTTCAGTAGTGGCAAAAGCTGGAAGATAAGAAGTGCGTGCCCGGTTAAATGCCGGCTCGCATTACTGCTCTTCCACCGCAGAACTAATTTCAAAAAGTGATTAAAACTGTTTGGTTCTTTCGTATGATGATTCAATGGATTTTCAAGGGGCATTACTCTTCTGACTGAAGCGATGGACGATGTAGTCATGAAGTCTTTTTACTTCTATCAGCCTGTTCACCTCTCCTTTCCAACTTTCCAAGTCTCCTTTCAGCTTTCCACGTCTCCTATGAAAAGAAGAAAAAAAAAAAAACGACATGACAATAAATTCAAATTCTAATTTTTAATAGAGTATTACCTTGCGTTGAAACAATCTAAATATTTTACTGGAATAGCTGTTGTTATCAATAATGTTACCGTTTCTGCTTCTTTTGGAACTCCTTCCTACTGACTGAAGTGACAGATCGTGTTTTTACCTCGTCGATCAATGGCAGGGTCTGCCAGTGTACGTAAAAGTGATAGAGCCAGAATTTGTCTTGACTTTATTGACCTATTATCGTTTACGTTGGTACCTGTCTCAAGACGCTTTAACAGACTAAGCAGTTTTAGAACATATCAATGTCGCGTCATTTACACTTACAAAACAAAAAAGTGTCTATCAGGAACCATGATTCTGTTCAAAATTTTACACTCAGGGTTAAATCACCCATCAAATGTTCTTGAAGTCAGTTAAAAACTGTCAACGACATCAAAGGAAGTGGGAACGCTGAACTTAAGGCAATTTTTGTTTTAAGTTGTCTACTCTGTTTGAATTTGGCCCAAATGTTATCATTTTACGTTTGACTTTTTTATTGTAATGGCGCCATTCTACATAATTCACGCTAATTTTGAAGTATTATTGATTGTTAACTTGCCATAGCGCTGTTGTAATTAAACTCGCAGAAACAACGCTTTTGAAACACCTTGTCGCAGTACTTTATCATTATTACTTTTCACTTACATGTTCGGCTAGCTCAAATGATGGTTTATTTTATTTCCTAAAAAAATGAAAACTTTATAATGAAGAAAGTCCAAGAGAGTTTTTGCATCCACAGATATCTTTCGCCATCCAAGAAATCGACTCATTCTAACCAGTGGAATAAAACTTCACAAACCCCTTTCCCACTAGCTACTAAAGGCAAATGTCCCTTTTCTGAAAAAAAATTGTAGCAGGTGAGCTGCAATTTTAGCCAGTACAGGAAAGAAGCCTGAATAAGAAATATTTAAGGCTTCGACGGGTTTCAAACCTGTGCCTCCCAGACACTAGTTAAGCGCTACTACCGACCGAGCTACGAAGCCGCAGGTTGGGAGCGAGGCAAATTTTAGCGAGGATCCTTGTGTTTTCTATTGTCCTTCATAACTGAAAGCGAAGAAAAGAGTAACGCGAAGGAAGTCTCTTTGCGTTCAAACTGTCCTTTCACCTGTTAGGAACTCATACAATGATGTCATATGCCATTGCTTTTTTTTTTAAATTTTAATCTTAATTTTTGTGAGAATAACTAAGCCATGGTAATCATTTATAGATGAGTAGACTTACCGAAAAAAAAAAACCTTGATTCCTAAAATAACTAGTTGAATTTTACTAAACTGCGAATTATCTAGCCAATAAAAAATGAAAACGAAAAAAGAAAAGAAAATTAACAAACATTTCGAGCCATGACCTCGTCGAAGGGTGTAGATTCAACACTACTTACTTAACTGAAAATAATCACCGACGCTTAGGATCCAAGAGGAACTCTACACCGGGAGGATATTGTCACCAGAGAACCGGCGCTGATTGTAATATCATCAAATTAAGAAAACTGCACGAAATATTTTTTAAAATATTCTTGCGGCTATCTCTTCCATAATGGAACTTCTCCTCATACAGTAGATATTTAAAAAGTCTTTTATTCGGCATGTTGAATTCTATCCTCGGTATTTTTAGCCCTCGAGTTTTCGTGTGCTCTATATTGACACAGTTGATTTGTAAATATACGATGTGTATATGTTTTGTTTACAGCAATGTTTAACAAGGATTGACACGATCATTTTTCTAATCTTTTTTCGACTTTTTGTCCTTTGGAAAATCTCCCTTTTACTGTTCCGCACCACATACGTACAGCTATTATTGTTAATCATTACGATCATTTTGAAAGTTTAGAGTTGAAAAAAGACATTTTGTCATTAATTATTTAGCAAAACGCATTAGCCTGCGGAACATGCTGCCTAAACAACCATCAAAAAATTGAAGATTGTTTTTCATTAGAAAGACATACCTGTCACATTACTTAATTAGAGCAGACCATCAGGCGGTTATAACAATTAATAGCCATAGTTATAAATTATGTCGTGTTTTATGTTATATTTCATTCATTGAGGCACGCTCTCAGGGTTCATCCGATCTTGTCAGTCCGTTCGTCCGTTCATTTTTCGCAGTAATGTACAGACTATCACTCGTTTTGGTTTGCGTTTACATCGCTGTTTCAGTAATGCTGTTGACTTGCCCTCGAGATACTGAAGCTTCTGCTCTAACACCCTACGGAAAGAGATCACAGGTAAAAGTAATAAATTTACCTTAGTAAAAATGAAAAGAAATTAAGGAGTCAAGTTTCTTAGCCATACCTATAGTAGGAATTAAGATCCGCATGTTTGACTGTGAAAATCTTCAGTTGAAAGTTATCACGGGCTGAGGTCTTTAAAAACTGAACTTGGTATTGTTTTGATAACTTTTTGGTGTTTAATTTCTGTATTATGATGGGGAAAAAATCTTTTGCAACGAGAATACATTGGAAACTTAGGACATTATCATTATAAAAAGATTCGTAAAACGTGCCAAAGTGCAGGATGGAGAACATCTCGGTGTCTGTCCAGATCAAAAAGAAAAAATAAATGAAGGAGATAAATGCTTAGCGATTTAAACAACCTTCGAAATTATAAATTACAAGAAATTGTTAAAAGAAACCTTATTAGGAACTTGCCTTTAAAATGTGTTTAAATGTTGGAAGTCTTTTTGAATGATTAGGAGGTTTATTTCTCTGAAACGGATTTTTAGTCACCTGCTTTGACTTATGTGCAATGCTGTTGTTGGAGTAAAATGCATAAAAAAAAAAAGAATGAAAAAAATGGCGAAATAGTTCAAGTATTAATTAGCATTTAGATTTTCTCGTCATCTCAGCCGATCTAAAAGTTTCAGTAATTTAGGCTGATTTAAAACAATTTAGGGGCGGCATTTGACTTTTAATTATTTCTTTGACTTTATGACTCCACTAGTGCAATTAGTTGTGTTTAATAGCATGTTTATGTCTGTGTTCAGGTGTTTCGTTACAAGAGAAGCATCTGTCAGGCAGCCAGAGCGCTGAGGTGCGACAGTGAAGAAAATCCGATGAGACGAGACCTAGGAGCAGATGACATTTGATGGTGTCACTGATAAATTGCGAGGCCCTTTACACTAATTATTATGTCATGAATCATGAAGTCTTTAAGTCAAATATTTAAATTAGTTTTACGCCAATAAAACAAGAACTCATTGGGTACCAGACGTGTGGTTCATTAAAAGTTCGTTGTCAATTTTTTTTCTAAAATATTTGTTCTTTCATCACGACGACAATAAGCCTCTTTGCATTTGATTTGTTTTTGTGTCCCTTTTTCTACCCATAACGAAAGCCAAGCTCTCTTAAATCCTGCTCTCTTCTGAAAAAACGGGCCAAAGCCATTACCTTAAAGTTTAGCTTAAAACTTTGATCATTAAAGCAGTCTTTATCAGACTGTTTATGTAAAGCTTGAGCTGCCACGATTAAAACCATCTTGAACCTTAAAAAAAAGGTTTGCTCTAAAAATAGGTTTCCAAACATGAGCAAAGTGAAAAGTGAATACATACGCAATACTCATTTTCTTGTCTGATCCTCATTTCAAAGGAGCTCTTCACAATCAATCTTAACAATCAATCAGTAAATTGGAAGGTATTATTTTCATGCAAGAGATTATTTTCTTGATTCATTTAAACTCCAAAATTGGTAATTTTTGAACTGTGCGAAATTACCTTTTGATTAAGAATAAAAGTAATGATAGAGATAAAATTATGCCAAAAAAAAAAAAAGAAAAATAGAAAATTGTCGACAAGTGTTCAAAAAAGTTCGTTAGGTTGATGAGCGTCATAATACAGAAGCATGAGACTGTTTACATATTCGTATAGCATCTGCATTTGTTATCATTAGGTCGCAAAGTAATCTTTACTGAGGCGAGCTCAGAAGCGATAATTGTGGCGCTTTTTTCGGGTTGTGGCGCTTTCTTCAGGCATCTCCGTTTGCAAAAACCGTTGTGACGCAAACTAATCATTCGGGGTACACCGATGACCTAGTTACACAATGATTATCTTGTTTACATCGTTTATTTGCTATTTGCCGTCATGATTGAACCACACAGAAATTAAAATTTGTTCCAAATTTACACATAGAGAAGGCAATTGTTTACTTTACATGCGCTGGGACGACATCATACTCCTAAATTGGAAGTCCATGTTTATTGCATATTGGGGTATGGTGTAATAATTATATCAAGAAAGAAAAAACAATAACAACAAAAGAAACCAGTTATCGAATTTATGAGCAACATTAAGCCTGGTTTTCCTCACCTAAATAAGCATAATAGCATTCAACTCCTCTGCTCCCATCCAGACTTCTTGCAACGGCCGGACGCTCTCTCGTCTTCGCAGAACGCCTGCGCTGCAGGCTAATTTGGTAGTAGCACCCAGCTGGTATTTGGGAGGAACCTGTTCGAATTCTATCGAATTTTGAATTTATTCGGGCTCTCCTTAACAGAAGTTCAAGATGTCACTAGAGTTTCAACATTTTTACTTAAAAAGCCACCAAAGAAATTGGCAGATTATCAAAGAATTTGCGATCAGATCTTATGGCCTGCTCCTTTATCCTAAGCAACCAATCCGATATGGGCGGGTCAAATGGATAGCTCCTCCTGATATTGAAAAGTTTTTGGCTTTCCGAAATTCCTGTTATTAAGCGCCTAATAAAGAATAACACTTTGGAAACCGATTTAAACTGCTACTATTCTGAAATTTACTGTAACACCATGCATAAATAATGACAGTCTGTTTGTTGTCATGGAGATGTGCCTTTACATCCAGTTATTTCATCCGCTGAAACGTTCTACAAGATTGCAATGGAAGTAGGTGCGGTGTTGAAACGCGAAACTGGCCGTGCAAGTAAATAAAATGCTAATTATACCCAGCTGTCGGTTGATTTGTTTGCATTATGTCAATTTTTTACCTCAAAACGTAATGAATTGTACGCTTCAACGTATAATTTTGTCAAACCTTAAACAGTCAAATCTCAAGCAGTAGTGATCTGTACCGTCATCAACTTACAGCTAATATTAAAATGAAACAGTTTCTCTCGATCTCACTATCACCGATTACAGCAATGTTCCGGTTGGGTTGACCTATTAACAGAAAGGCTTGAGATGAACAGTGATGCGTTTTTCATGACTGTTGTCGTAGAGGTTGACACTTCTTGTGCGACTGTCTGAAACGATCTTGAACTCGGTGCAAAGCGCTGACTCGCGTCACAGGTCAACTTGAAACAACCTTTTATCTTAATTACCCCGAAATTAGTTGGAATCCTTAAGCCACCATAAGACTCCAGTTGTTTTATTTAAGCTCAGTGGTAAAACAATGGGCAAGCTGTGTACGTCGTCGAAGAAAGGAACCCAACGTAAACACCAATTTTCAGGTAACTTCAAACTTGTAGATAAAACGACCTCGTTAGTCGTCATAACCCCGCTGAATCTAAATTTTTCTACTTAAAGTGAAGAGAACACCAGCTGGATCAAATGGATTTTCTGACAAATGGATTTGCGAGAACCAAGAAATTTCCGAAATACATTATGCTTTAAAGGGAAAAGAAACCAACATGAAAGAAAATCGTTGCTCTGAAGGTCATTTTCCTCAAGTGGTAGAAGGTCTGGAATCGCAGACCAGTCAAGCGGTAAGCACAAAACAAATGGAACATTCTGATCAAAGACAGGTGCAGAATCAAAGTACGATTAAGGAATTTCAGCTTAAACAAAAGCAACTAATTCCAAGGATAAAGCTGCCATTTCCACCATCTACTCCTAAGAACAAGGACCACGATGCTATGCCTACATTTCGACAACGAAAGTTCAGAGTTGATTGCCCTGGCTCCCCGCTCAGTGAGGCGCGTGAAATAAGAGTTAAAAACCGTTTCCCTGTGACCATCTCCGTTGATACTTTCCCTGTTACCGGTAATCCGGCTCCGTATAGTTGGTCGACAGACTCTAATGACGAAGAATGCAACAAAAATGACGTAGAAGGGGTAAAGGAAGTAAGAAACAATGTTGAGGGTCTCTTGGGTCTCAATTCTCCAATGTCACGCCTTTGGGATTCTGTCACGACATCTGTCACGTCGATTAGTAACCCTCATATTTATAAGAGCCGTGGTCCCCATCCCATCGACTCTTTTGCGCAAAGACCTCTGGAATGGAACGCAAAACTTTGTCGTCAAAAACTAGAGCTAGCGGACAGCTTTGATTCTCAGCGCGGTAAAGATTCCGCCCTGGCGAGACAGATGATCAAAAACTGGCTTACTGACGTTAATATTAGATCTAAATAAGTCCAGGGCACGAAGATTTCAGTTATTTTTGGTTTTGGTTTCGTTATTTTAAACTACCAACTAAAAGCTGAATTGTAACATAGCTATTAGATCCGTTCTTCAAATTCAGAGGCGTGAGCGTTCTTCACATTCCCTTGTGTAGGCTGATGACAAGTACGGTTGTATCAGAAGTTTAATTATATCAGAGGAACTTTTTCACCGACCGTGCTTTCTGCCTAGGCAGTGCTTCTTTGAAGTCACCCTTCGTTTGGGTCTATAGAAAAAAAGTTGTTGTTACTCGACGTATTTTTGCAGAATCGACACTAAATTACTCCTAAATAAGCCATTTTTAGCGGAAAACTCTATTTTGGAAAATACAAAATTGTTTGGAAAGCGTTGTAAATGTTTACTCTACCGCATTGAAAATGATCTTAATAATCGCATAATGTGTCGGCTGTGCGTTCATCGAGACATGAAGCACATGAAAAGTTCAAGCTGAGAACCTCTGTTTCCGCGAGCTTATGCCTCGACGAACGCTTACGAATGAGCCAGTCGTTTGCATCTTATACACAAAAATACACGGTATTATGTATCTTTTTTTAAAACGGGGGACAAAGGGTTGGCTGGCACTATGGACCCTTTTGGATGATTGATATGAGGCAGAATAATCCGGTTCAGCGCTAGACACACTTGGCGGAGCAGAACCTCTTCTTCACTAAATACAGAAGGCAAAATAGGAGCTGAAATCTTATTTTGCACATTTATTTATTATCATTATTTTCAAGTACAATCCTGCAGCAAGATTGGGTACTCTGACTGTAATGGTATTCTTTTCTTTTTCTTTGCAACTAAGACGGATTAAGTATCCTCTCTTGGCAACATATTTTCGCTTAATCTCACAGATGCTTTTGTCCTTGTATTTTTCTTAGCTCATACGCACGCAATCTGCAGTCCCCTGATCTGCTTAATTAGCTTAGGGTTTGATGTTAAATAATCATTTATCATCTCCTACTTTTGATGTCAACGTTATTTCTTTTAGCCTGAAAGAAATTGTGGCGCGGTTATTTTGCATTTCTTTTCAACTTATATTATTTTGCTGCGATATGCAATTTTCACAAAAAAAATTTTATTTGTTGAGCATTGACATATCAGTGTTAATGGTTGTCGCTGTAGTAGATAAGGTAAGGGCAGCCTGTCGTTGCAGATCTGTTGTTACAGCCCGTGGTAAACTGTACCTCTCACTTAGGCAGTTTATTGTTATTTCAGCTTCACCTCTAGATCTGAGCCGTGTTACCCACCTCGAAGCCACTTAACCGTGGATTCACACACTTCAGTAGCTTGGAATGTTGCTGCACAGCCCCCAATCAAACACAAGCGTGTTTACTAAGGAAAAAAAAATTATATGTTAGTCAGCTACGTAGTATCTACATGACGAATAATACCTTTTGTCATCTTAGTCTAACGTTATTGTTCTTTCTGAAAAATCTGTCATCATGCTATGTTTGAAACGAAATAAAGAAGCTCACAATACCTCGGATAATCTGAGCACAGGAACTGTATTTGTCCAGCTATCAAAGCAGAGAATAAGTCTCTGGAAAAAGTGATTTGTATTACTTTCTAAAATCCTCCTTTCAAATACTCAAACGTTTCCGGTAGCATTGTATTTCAATATACAGATTTAATTTTAAAAAAGTACATGCGGATCTTCATGACCACGCAGTTTTTATCCATTCTATGTTCCAGTGCTGATTCAAGCTTAAATTTGTTACACAAGACACTGGAAACAAATACATTCGTTGAATTCAATCACCTAACACACCTTAAAGAAATGTAACCGTAGTACATTCTGCACTATACTGCTTGGCCGTTTTCTGCTCTTGTTGAGCAACACAACCGAAGCAAAGGCATCAGCGGAGACTGCACTTGTAGTGCAATACTTTCTTCTTCCAAATGAGATCATTCTACTTACGTGGTCTAGAACTGAACACATTCAAAATTAATATACGTTGTTAACTTTTTCTTCCAATACATGGATAGGCCGAGAACTTGAGGTGACGTCAAGATCAGGTAGATCGTGTAGGGGCTGGTAACTATACAACGCCTTATCGACTTTCATAGTCAATGAAGCATTCTGTCTTTCGTAAATAAGTGATGGACCCTCACAGGCTGTTTAAATGGCCTTTTTGTGAAATTGCTGTTCTGTTACCGCTTTTTCGTTCACAAACCACGTTTCTCTCAAATCTGTCCTCCGAGAATGTTTCTGTGATTGAAAGGGAGGGTAAACAGATTTGCTGCATCACAGGACTAACCAAAGTTGTGACATTCTCTTAATGAAGGATTAAATCGCCTCCGTTCATTCTATCTCTTCCCTCAAGCTGTTGATAGCACGGTGTTCAAACTCAAAAAGTATCCTTTTATAAAAAGATGGTTCAAAGTCATTTTGAAGTTAAGCGTGCCATGCTTCACGATCGAACCAGCGCTCACGACATCTAATAAATCAAGATCAAGAAAGATGACAAATTTTGACCTCAATTGTCCAATCAAGAATAATTTTTAAGAAGGAAGATGGATGAGGATTATTGTTTCAATTTACGTTTTTACTCATACAAATCTTTCCATTAAGCCATGGAGATTACTTGCTTTCTCGCTTTGTTTTTTCGAGTTCTTAAGATTGGACTGCCTACAGCTCTGACTCGATGTCTAACTCTAAACTTGCTTTTCAGCGTTCCAGTGCAATGCAGCAATGTTATACAGAGATCAATATACTAGCAGATTACACATTTTGTTTATAAGGGTTGTTAGTCGAGTAACGAACTCCCTCCCTGCCATGCTTTTGACAGACCGCCAGTGCACAAAGTGTTCATGCATTCAATATGGGATGGAAAGTGAGCATGTATTAATAGCGCTAAACAACGCTCATTGACTTTTAAGAATTTTATTCTTTCAAGTTTTGCCTCAAACATTTTCATATTATTATGAAATGAAATATATAAATCACACATCGTTTTTTGAAACAAATTCCCAAACCGATAACCCACTTGACTCTTCATATGTCATAACAAGGATTTTGAGTATCATCTTCACAAAATACAAAGTAAATACCACCCAGATACTCAGACCAAATAAATTAAATTTCAAGGAAGCTAAGCCCTTACACAAATACAAGCCGCTTTCCTGAGCGCGAATAAAACTTTCAAGGAGGCCTAACTCAGAGTCTAATTATGGTACAATCAGGCACTGTATAAATTAGAATGACACCATAGACAATGAAAAACACATGGTGTTTTGATAAAGAACTTTTGAGGGATTTTAGAATTTGGCAGTTAATTGTATCAATTTAGCTCTTCATTAGTTCGCTATATACACTCTCATTTCGCAGCTATGGACAATTATTTATAGGACCCCGCGCCAGCCGGGGAAGACGTCTTGATTTCTCAGATCCGCTCCGGATTTGGAGGAATGCAGAGGACATTACGGGTCAGTAAAGAATCACGCGTGAAGCGGATGATTTCTGAAAGACCGTGAATAAATAACTATGGGCTGCAATTGTATTCGTTTTTCTTTGTTGCCTTACATAGGCGATGATTAAAGTGATACTGTGTAATCCTGAAGAATGCTCAGTCATCATATCGATTGATCGATCGTTATGGCATAGAAACTTCATGATACTGAAACGATAAGAAATAAATCGACAGCGGGGAATAAAGATTATTTTCCTTCTTAAAAATAGTTCAAAGAAAGCTAACAACCGGCAATGCTTGTTCCTGTATCGCTGAAACGCCCATGTGTACTTCTTTTTTTTTCTTGTTTGTTAATCAACCAAAAAATTCAGATAATTTCTTAGGTTGTCGATTTAAACGAACAATCCAAATAGTGTTGTAGCCAGTTTTAAAGTTCAACTAAACCAAACAATTCGCAGCTTATAAGGTTGGCGTTCCTCCAGCAGACTTTTTATCATCAGTATGTATCAAAAGAACAAAGTACCGGTTAAAAGCTTTTCGTCCCAGGAACATCAGCTGGTTTGATAAATGATCAATAAAGTCAAACAGAGAGCTGATAACTTACGTGCAACATGCATGCAAAGTCTGCAAAGACTACCAAAGCGAATATTTACAGAGACATTTCCTGGAGTCTGTTTGAATCCAGCTGCTAAGTGATTTTAGCTTTTTCGCAGTCTTTCAGCCAATGGCAAATCATTGAGAATTTTTCGAATGTCTCCTCATCATCGTTCTGATCGATCACTCCGTCTTCGTCGCACAATTCTTCATCTAAATATTCATCGATCTTTACATTTTGAATGTGGTCGACGCATTCGTCTATTTTGTTTTCCTGGCTTGTGAACGCGGACTTTGTGTGCTTGTGGAAGGCGGAATCGTTTATACAGTCTGTTCCCGTTGTAAGAGCAAAGCCAGTTTTGATTAAAGGCAAAGAATTCGTTTTGCGAAGATGTTCTTTCTCAACGCCAATTGGTGTTGACATCCTTCTCCTACCTCCAGGTCCAAGAAGCAATGTGTTGTTATCAGGTGCAACTGGGCGGGAAAAGGCTCCATCGTAATTATTATTCATTACACCATTAGTTCCCTTCAGATCTTTAATATTCTTCTTGATAGCGTCTTCTCCTTGAGACGCATTTCGCAATGGAGGAAGACATGAGGCTGACAATACCTTAGGCAGCGTTTCCCTCGATTTATGTTCTCCTAGCACTTCAAGAAAATGTTCCGAAGGTCGTCTTACAAGGAACCCTTGATCCCCATTTGTATTGTTCGTCGGTGGTGTAAATGGAGGAGTCATGGATCTCACTTCAGACAAACTAGAGTCATGTTTGGAACTACAGGCACTCCTCGAAGATACAGAAAACATCCTTTCTCTTTTGGCAATATCATTAGCGGTTTCCTTATCGAGGTATGGTTGTTCATAGGCATGGTTGTCGCAGTTTAAAATCGTTGGAGGAGATATTTTGCCTCTTAATGGTAGGAGGCTTTTGTCTGACTTCTTCATCGATATTTCCTTCATTGTGAGCAGAGCTGGAAATGTTTCCGTAATCCTTTCCTGGCTAAGCGCATCACCTATAGTCAAACGAAGTGAAATACAGTTTGTTATGTAATTCTTTAAACCTAAACATAGTCAACGGCCGGCAATGAGAACATTCAGGAATGTAACTCATATCGATTACTGCTCTGTAAAATAGCTTCCACTCAGTAAATAAATGACATTGTCATTTAAGTAGTATAATTCTAAGTTCCGGTTCACAGAAAGTAGGTTCACCCTAAGTTTTAATCCTAAGATAACTCCAAGATGACTCGATTCTGTGCCCTTAAGTTTATGTTTTTCTCTATTATAACAATGCTAAACTGAAAATTTTCGTGTTATGAATTTGAGTCATTATATTAAAGAAAAAATGTTTCCGTGCTCTCGTGCTCATTGCTGACAGCTCATCAAGTTAAGTGGTTCAAATAATTTCTGCATAGCAAACAAATTCCTCTATTGGCCTTTTGTTCTTTGTGGTCTGCCTGATTCTACCCGACCGGCCGGCGAGTTTACTTATACGTTCATTTACACAATTCAATTAAGGAAAGAACACAAAATACCTCTTAATAAACAGCCTTGTAATTAATGAACATGTTATGAGTCCTTTTTATGAAGTTTTGTTAGCAGAGAGAAGTGAATCCTTTTATTCGTTATAACAATGATGTGCTTGATTTACCTGCCTAGAACGTGTGTCTTATACTGATCAATAACTTCACACATGACGACCTTTGGTGGTAAAACTAAGAGGAATTGAATGATATTTTAAGATAGAAAATGAACTACTGGAAAACGGCCTACATCCCTGCCTCTGGCACTGCTTAAGATAATAGCCGGGTGAAGTAAAATTTATTCTAGATGAATCGAACAATTAGTTAAGTGCCTATTTTCTAGAACGTTTCTCTTACCTTAGTAAATACAGGGAGAGAATTGAACAATTGATGATAAATTAAACGTTAACAGCAAGGGTAACGCAGAGATCTGGGTTTCTTGTCCCATGAACCGTTTTAGTTGGCTTGATGGCGTGATTTCATTTCGCTGATAAGTTTTGTAAGTAAATATCATTAACACTCAGGAAGCAACAGAGAGATGCTGAAAGTTTGTCAATCAAAGTTGAACTGCTATGGTAATTAATCTTGAGCTATCAAGTGTCTCGCCTTATGGATCGACTCAGTGGCTCACGTGCACCTGGAGTGTTTCACGCGTATGCCAATGAACTACGCATGGCTTAACTCTAAAGATAGCTTTAGGTGTTTTGTATTATTTAGCATTATCTATTTTCTTGCTACGTCAGGCCTCAAATTTGCTTTCGCTTCAATTTTAATTTTTGTAGACAGTCTTCAAGTGAGCACAATTACACAACTGGGAGCGTTTTTTATTTCAAACCTGACCTTGTTTCCTATTGTCTTGTTATTACAAGAGTTCCAAAGTCCATTCATTCCCTGGTAATTGCAGGCAGGGTTACAGAACAAAACATATCATCCCAATTATTCAGTCCCAAAAGGAGCCGGGATTTTTAAAATAAAGTTTTACACCTATCGTCGTCACTTTCTGCTTTACGCGCATGATAACTGAAATGTATAAATATTTCTTTTCCTTACGTATGCTTTCCTCTCGCTAGCCAATGGTTGGTAAGAGCACAAACGAGCTAGTTAATTCGCAGGTCAATTAACTAGCTCGTTAAAACACTAGACATCTCTGATGTCTAGTGTTTTAAAAAGGAAACCTTAAAAATGGTTTCTGTGCTTGATTCAATAGCTGAGTAAATGAATGAAATGAACTTCTTCTTTCACTTGGTGAAATACATGGAATATTTTCCTCAAAACACGTTTCGCATCAAAATAGTATGCTTCGATTAAACAAAGGCACGTGGTCTGAAACACTGACGCCCCTATGCGAAATTGCTAGTGGGACCAAAACAAGCAATAATTTAACAAAGATTGATTGAACCATTTTACCAGTTGCATCTTCTCTGTTTTTTTTTTTCACGGGGCAAAAGTTTAATTCATCCTAAGGAGCCAAGTCTCAAGAGATGAGAGCACCCCGCGGTGCCTCAGCACAAGTTCCAAATTTACAGACAGTTACTCGAGTGTTGATAATGAATATATGTCATCAGTTGTGCTACTTTATCTAAAAAGAGGTACCGACGAAAACATAATATTTTTTTTAATATTAAGAACGCTTTCTATTTTCCTTCCTCATTCAGCTATCACGTAAAGGAAATAAGTTCATGAATACCGATTTCCAGCTGCAAATGCATTGTACGAAGTCTTTTAGACTGAACTTAAACCTAAGCTACTTGTAGTGTTAGGTTTTCTTTAAAAATTTCCAGAATATTTTGAGTGAATGGGCTTCTATGTACATAAAAATCCTTGTGATATTTTTTTCCGTTGTTTTTATTTTTAGACGAGAAGTTCCTGAGAAGCGACCCTCGCTTTCTTATAAAGTCTTTCAATGACTTCTCGTTCAAAACAGCTTTCGAACCACTTTTTCATAAGTTGTTCAAGCATGAATGCAAAATTTCCTGACTTTAGGATTATGCTTTCATCGCAGTTTAGTTCTCTTAAAATAACCTGAAAATTAGTAGTGGTTGGAAGCATGGAGAAAGGATTGCGAATTGAACGGCGTAAGATTTTGAGCTCGTTCTTTGACGGTACTTAATGTACTCCTCCGGTTAGGACAAACACTTACTGTGGTGGCTAATACACCTGTTTCTAAGTGCCTGATAAAGGACGTAGCTGCTCAAAACGCCGGAAATTTTTGTCAAAACTATTTCGATTACTCTCTTTCCTTTCGCCTGGGATTATCATTTCTTTTAAACTCTTTCCTTTCGCCTGGGATTGTTAGTCACGATATCGAGAGAACCGTTTTGCTCGATTTTTCAAGATCCTTAAACCAATATCATCTGCTGTTTTGATAGAAGACTCTTTCCGCATTCCGCCATAAACGACAGTAACAAGTATGTGAGCATCAAACGATGCAATAAAGTTAGTTATAGCACAAAAACGTCCGTAAATGTTACACTTGATGGCGGAATGCTAAGTCTGAGCCACGATTTCACATAAGAATCGTAGATTAAAGGCGACCACCGTGCGATGAGCGGGCTCAAAGTCTACTATCTTGCTGTCACTAGCAACGCTTCCGACGTTGCTGATTCAAGCAGTATACAGAGATCCTTGTTACACGTAGACCAAATTTCTCTCTTAACTCACAAACAAGTTCTTTGTTATTCGCTTAACGTTGCTTAGTCGCAAAATCGGAAGGTTTGAAATTTAAATAATTACGGGAGACTAAGATTTTTTTGTTGCCCTCCTCCGACGATCATTCATGCGTGTTTATAAACCATTGCTGTGTTACGCTGGTGTTTTGAACGCCAAGTATCTTACATGCTACGCAATATAGGCACCAATCCCAAACTTACCGAAGGTTCTGGCAGATGATGAATCTTTAAAGGCTGCCGAAAACGCGGCGTAAAAATCTTGTGAGTTGTCTGCTCGATATATTCAATTTGTTGATATGATGTATGTTCCGTTCCCTCTGGCGAAACGTAATCCAGCGCCGGATATCAATTGCTTCCTGGTGCACGTGATCAGGTCATGCACCAATCATGTACTCCGCGATCAAATATGCAAATGTATGAGAACACAGGACATCGCTGTCAAAGATATTAGGATTCTTAGCCTTATTTCATCTTGCTAAATGCATGGGAGGAAATTTATTAATAGGTTAAAATGGGTTAATAATGACATGCTGGCGAAAGGAACGTATAAAAGAAAAACTGTTTCGTAAGCAAGAGTTGATCGCAAAAGTGGACGTGATGCTATCATATAAATAAATCTTTCGTTTCGCTCTCCTAACCTGAGGTCATAAAAAAAAATTCCTCCAGTTGGATTTAAGTTCAGTCTCCTGGGGCAGCCACAAAATTGGTTTAGAAAAATTATAAAAAAAGGAAAGCCGAAACCTCAAATCGAACGAAATAAAGATTTTTTTATGCTTTTGAATACAGCCATGAAAGTGTCGTGAATGAGATGCCGACAATGTTCTTTTTGGCTGTTGTTCAAAACGCTGCTTTGGGAAAAGTCGTGGGTGGCGCTTGAAGGTGCACCTCTGTCATTTTGAAGGAGCCACAAAAGACCTCTTTCCTTATGTCTCTCCCCGCGAACATTGAGCTCTCAGAGTCATTTTAATCTAGTTCTCTACATTCATGTTTACTTTTACTCGTGAAAAGTATATCTGAATCCACATAATGTGAATATGTTTTTCATTCGCCTATACTAAGACACTGAATAAATAAATAAATAATCGAAAAAATAAATTATCAAGGAATGCCATCAAAATAAAATGCAAGTTACAAGGCATTTGCCCGACTATCAAGCCTATAAAGACTATAAAAGCCTTGGAATTTCCTCTCGAGTTTTCATACGTAATCTCTTTATATATATATTTCGTTTGTTCCGGTAGACTAAGAAAAGTTGGGAAAATGAAACAGCAAACAAACCATCCTAGATGCTCGAAAGCAACAATAATGATAATGATGATAATAATAATGATGATGATAATGTGCTAATAATGATAATAAAAATATTAATAATGATGATACTCATGATCATAACAATAATGATAAGAACAACAACGGAATAAAGATTAACGGTTACTTATAGTAATAGACTGACAAACAAACCGAGGAATGATTTTTTTCTTTTATATATTCATTTGTCGGAATTTTTCTTCCTGATTTGACCTGGCATTGTATGCATCGTATGCGTTAATCATCCATCTCCTCTCTGATACTAAAAATAAAACAAAAAAAAACGAGGGTAAAATTCATTTTAAAGGTCATAGGCTGGCAGAAGTTTGCATCGTTATATCCGGCCATTTTGTTGCTCCTTTTTCGTTACTTGTTTTTCACCTATTACAGTCTCTACTGTCTCATATTTTGCGTTTCCTCTTGTTCTGATCAATAAATAAAACATATGTCATGATCATTGTACATCACTTTAAGCCACTGGAAAGACGTGATCGTGTCTTTTTGTAGACAAGTAGACAAGCATTGACGCGACGATGTAATTGAAAACTATCAAACCAATTAAAATTAAGTAGAACAATGAAAATTAGTGGATCACCTTGGATTCAAAAGATGTTTGATATGACCGACTGTATGTAACTACCTTCACGTACACGATTCATAATTTCTCAAAACTAGAGTTCTTTCTTTAAAACGAGTGAATTCATAAAGCAAACTTGATGGCTTTACAGAGCTTTCATTTTTTCCTCATAGGAGGATGTAGATACGTCGCAATTTTTAACACAAAGCTACTTACTCAAAGGTGTTCCTGAATGAAAGGTATTTGACTGTGTTGGTTTGCTTGCACACGTCATTCACCAACGCCTGTTGCTAGGATACCCCGTTATTATATCTTGGCAATCGATAAAGTTTAATATCTCAAACATTTTAGCCTTGAACTTGCCTTTCAAAAAAAACAAACCAAAACAAAAAAAATTGTCTTGTCAAGGTCGTTTATATATTGTCTTTCATTTCAGATTGTTCCGCAGTTTTTATGATATAAATGCTTCACTTTTGTAATCGTCTTTGATGCCATTAGAAATAATAGTACTGCGGTTTTAGGAGAGTTTTAATTGCAAATCACCCGCAAATAACTCGAGGGCGACTACGATTTGTATCCAAAGACACCCCTCCAAGTATCCTTAAAGCTTGTGGTAGATAATAATGTTTGTAAGCGCTCTAAAGATAGTTTTCCATTGTGAAAGGCAAAAGCAGTTTAGCAGTCTTACATACTAAATGCCAAGTAGGAAGTAAGCCGGTTAAAATTTTAACACATGAAATTCGAAGATAAGTAGACACGAGGACGGCGTTAGAGATTGAGAAAGAGTGAATGATTTATGAGACTGTGTTTTTTTTATCTGTTTTGTTTTGTTTTATTTTTTTCGATAGTAAATAGAGAGCGACTTTATGAACACAACTTAGAAAAAGTTGGAAAATCTTACCAATAAAAGGAGCTAACTGCTGCCAAAAGAGCGCCAAAGACAGCTCAAGTACGTCAAATGCTAGCTAGCTGTGGCCATTAAAAAAGATGTGTCGATTTTATCGGTTCTTTCGAAAATCATGTAATCTGGAGAAATCATGTGCGGAACTTTGAGTGCTTCGAATGATTCATTGAGGAATCCCAGATCATTTTAACAACAGCGCACTCTCTAGACATGAACAGACAACTGCTTGTAGAGCAGACAACCTGGGCCGTAAATGTTGAATGTTAACGTTGCTTCGTTTGTGGACATGTCACTAAAGTAACTTAAGATATAAATAGATTAAGACGCGTTGTTTTCTTTTTATCGAATTTGGAGAATATTTTTGATAGACTGTAACTGCTGGAGAAGCAGGTGTCTACTAATGGAAAGAGAGAAAAGATAAAATGTTCTGCTGGCGGATCAAGAAAGCATGTTATTCATCGAAGAAATTGTTGTCAGCTAATATTTACATTGAAAGTATGATAGAGTATCAATAAACTATAGCTTCAATAGCGTGAATGAGATGATAGGTGGAGCCATGTGTATGGTATTCATGCTTTTCAAAGCGATATGCATGCAACCGGCCTTCATCTACAATAACGAAGACCTCTTAGTTTGTTTTCCACATACCCTACAGCATGTTTCTGTTCTTTACTTGCATTAATTAGCATACATATGTTTTCCCTAGATAGTATTCATTTGTTTGTTTTTTTTTCTCGCACATGCAGTATTCATGATTTGCCTTTTCAGTCATAGATGAACGATGAACGAAAGTTCAGTTGGTTTTAGCCGATTTTGTTTCCTTGATAATCTTACTTACTTTTTGTTTGGTTCAAAAACTGGGGATTTGAGCACACGGATAGCTCTCCTCTGTTTTCCAGTTCATACGATTCAAACCAAGATGCCGAAAATGCCGGCCTTGGAAGCTTCAAGCGTACATAGTGTCGGAAAATAGCTCATGGATATATTAAGTTTTGCTTTATGTGGAAAATAGAGTGTATACGGAACTGCTCATGACAAGGGATAAATGTAACATTTAGTATTATTCTGACTCGGAAAGAATCATTAGGTTGTACCTCCCTTTCCGGAGAAAGGAAATAACGCAAGTCAGTGAACAATCTCGTACACGCAAATGATCATAATTCTTTTCTTTAAGTGAATATTTTAGAAAAGATCGTCATTCAGTGAGAAGATGACAATAAAAACAAAGGAAGCACTTTAGATGCATTTTACTATTATCATTAAAACTATCATTATTATTATCACTGATACTATTTCAAGAGGTAGATACTTCTAAATCGATCAATTTGGCCACTTCTAGCAAAGCAGCCGAAGCTATAGTCCATCTAACGCTTGTTGGCAATGTCATTGAACGATCGTGACCATAAAAAAGAGGTCTCTTTGTTGCGTAGGACGACAGTTAAATGAAACAATTGCGAAATGCTCACATGCTGACTCGACAAGGTAATTTTAAAATAACAATGAACTGAATCTTTCTTTTAATAAGATCAAACATGATTCCACTTCTGCTACCGGGAAAAACGCTTAATTCTGTTTACTTTTTCCATAAGATCTCGACCACTCTGATAAACTATTTCCTCGTAAAAATAATAACAATGATATAACTTAATACACTCAAAATTAAGGAAACTTGTGGTAAACGCTGTCATGGTATCTTGATTTTTGAAGGACAGAAATTTGATTTGTATGCATATATTTCGAAATGGCTCATGATCATGAAGCGAGCATATTAGACAGAGAGAGAAAGAGATACGGTTTTTAAAGAAAAGGGGAAAATATGCCGGTGCTAAAAAGCATGATTAAAATGTTGCTTTTGTATATATCTTATAATTAAACAGTGGAGTAGAAAATGAAGTATTAATTTAACGCTCAGCAGGTGCCTCGACCATCGCAAAGTGTTATGAATTTGACCTGAGTAAATTAAAAACTCCTTTTGAAGTACTTCATAAATAATTTTATCGTATTTATATCCACAAACACTCTAACCTTACTCTGATAAAAAAAAATTCATTTAAAATTCTTCGACCATTTTAAAATATCGCCATTTGAGCAACCACAAGTGGGTAGGGGATTCACGATTATGTTACTGACTGACGTCAACTACGCGTTCAAAATGATGAGTCAGGACAACTGCCGTTCTAAAGAATAACCTCAAAATGTTCATGTTAGTTCCGACTTTTGGGTCCAATTTCCTAATTTCTTAATCATTTACACATAAAGATAAATAAATAGCGTCGTGCACCGGCTACTGATTCGATCTGCACAAAACTAAAAAAAGCAGAAGATTGATTCAGTGCCTTGGATCGGAAGGAAATTGATTTTATTCCTTCTTGTTTCGTTTCTTATATTGTTTGATTGGATTTAAGGAACGGATAATGACTAGAAATCGCGAAAACCTTTTAGCCAATAAAAATGAAAATAATGTGAATTAAAAAATACTGATAATTGTTTGAAATTCCTTCAAACGTTTAAGAGATACCAAACATGGACGAAAGAAAGAAAAAAAAAACTCAAAAGCGATATGGTCTTAATTTAAAGCTAGATAAGATAAGACACTAAGTTAAACAAGGGGTCCAATTAAAAATTTTCTTATCACACTTAACTTTATGGAATGCGGGCAACCCTTTGTGGTGAACGAAACCAGACATTTGTTTGTTTAACAAATAATTGTTTTGGAGAGAAATTCACAGATATACAATTTGCTCTGCCGGTATTGTTATGAGATGACCTTTGCCTTGCTAGAACGTAAACTGGAGCACGTACTCAACCGAAAAACGTGCAAAGTTGCAGGTAATCTACTACTATCTACGAATTATCGAGACCTAAAGGTCGGTAGATAACACGTAACTGTTGAAAGAAAAACAAGCCCGTCATTTAAAGACTTTGTCTAGCGCTGATTTATTTCAACTCCAAAATATGCAAAATGATAGATGACACAAATGTCCGACATTCTGTCACTCCAGATAACGAATTCCTTTAAAATACCCGTAGATACTCGTTACGATTGATATATTCTTTTGATGAGTATTGATGAAATGAAAGAGACACACTATAAGAATTTTAATTTAAACCCCCCCGAGTTAAAAATAATTTTCCATCTTTCATGAACGTGACTGCAAGGTCACGAAATGGATCACTCGTTTTCCAAATTAGACAGTGGTTCAATAAATATTAATTAAAAGCGAACTTTAGACAGCGTCGAGATCCATTTGAACTTTAAAGTGTTGTTTCCTTTTCTGTTTTTTTTTGTTTGTTTGTTTGATCCATCTGAACGGTATCTTTCTAAAATTGTCTTATTCCGAGAACCAACCGGTTTCCATCTAAACCGAAGCTAACCCTAAAAAAACTTTGATTTGACTCGAATATATGGACAAACGCGAACCGACAAAATAGGAAAACCCAATAGGTTTTAAGTTAACAACAAAACAAAATATTTTCATAGTTCTGAACATTTATTAGAATATCCATCCCAATATTTAAGAATAGCTTTCTCACTTCAATTTCAAATCATACAAATACTTTCACACTTTAATATTTTACATCATGTCAAATCATTTTCAATAAGAGAATTGAGTTATTTAATTTATAACTATAAACCACCCTTTTTTAATAGATCAAGTATTATCTTATTGATAGCAAAATATTAAATACCTTAACGCGTGTAAAGCCTTCCTTGCAGTCTTTCTTTTTCTTTAGTTTATAATTCTTTAACTTTCAGTCGCGATCTTGTCTTCTAACCCCGGAATTATTTGTTGTCACTTGAAATAAATGACAACCAGGCTAATTTCGTGTCCTTAATAATTTATACTTTACTGATCATACACATATATACATATGTGTATATACCTAACTCTGACTGTTTAAAAAGCGCTCCAAAATTACAGCTTTAGTCGTGAATAAATCATAGTCCAACTCCTCTTTTTCGATATGTCTTCTGAGGTCAGCTGAATGTTTTTCTTCGGTTCCTTTGCGTGGAGTCTCTCCGTTGTTGAGTTGAGGCAAACTGTTAGAGCATGTATCGTTTTGTATTTTTGTGACGAGAGAAAATTTTCCATCGTTAAAAATGACTGGATGTGAAATTGTTCTAGTAAGTTCGTAGTGTTGTGGGCGATGTACTCTCTCTACCCATTCAGATGAAGGCGCCGGCAGTAGTTGGACATTCTCTTTCAAGTCTCTTTTAATAAGATTTGGTAGCCAAGAGTTTTCGTGGGAGCTTCTTTTCTCTAAGGCCGATTTGAACAACTTCCCTCGTCTTGGATGTGAAGGCAATCCCACCAGTGCTATTATTTCGGTTTTTCCCTGTTCAGTGTCTGAAAAGGCATGAGGTGTTGTAATTCTTGACGGCACGTTACAATCCGAAGATCCCTCACGCAATGAAGGTAGATGCGATGAAGATGACGATCGTCTCGGTAGCATAATATTAGGATTTGGTAGTTCTTCGAGTTGGGAAGACTGATGAATTGGAGTGGCCTTCCTTACAGTCCTCATTGCTCCTTTAAAACTACAACGTCTAAGCTTCCACGGAACTTGTGCCGGTATCAAATTCGCGGATGTGTTTGCTGTGAAATCAGTTGCGATGTGATGGAACTTCACATGGATGTCAGTCTTAATGCAGAGGTCACGAAATGGTGTTTGATCAAAGGAAATAATTACGATTAAAATAGAAAGACTTTGTCACTCAGTCAAACATTTATTGTTAAATGCGCGAATCACAGAATAGTTGATTTGTGCGCATTGTTCGATTATCATGGCGCAATTGAAAAGAAATCATGCCATGAAATCTGATGCTTTAACGACTGAGTGATTCTTTTCTTTTATTCCACGGTTTAATGCTCTAAGCTGCGCCAGATTAAAGCAAAAAAACGTGCATGTTAGGGGATGACCTTAAGGAACACGTTTCTTCAACTGCCCACTGTTGTAGAAGACATCGGCGTCTTTCAATTTTACTGAAAAGCCGATTACGCTGTGATAGGAATTCATGTTTTTGTTAGATAAGGCGTTTAAATCTTTATGGGAAAGACCGAGCGTGTGTATTTGCACGCGCGACAGGGTGATGTAAAGTCTGTACGTGAAAACTCCTTTTACACTTGGATGGCCGACTGATCTGAATGTTTCAGGAAGTAACATGTCGATGGGTTGCCATGTGAACATGCTTACACACACGTACATACTTTATGACTAAACGCGAAAACCATTGGTTTAAATATCAAACCCGGCTAACGTTTGGTGACTATGGTTTGTGGGCCGATCGACCTCTAGGGGAGGAGGACTTAGGCACAGGTTTGAAGCGAATGGTGTTCATTTGTGGAAAGAACTTAAGGGGCCTTAAATTTAGAAATTTACAGTATTACGTATTGCATGGCCTTGCATTTAATCAAAAGAAGGCCAAGTTAATTTACTCTCAATTCATGAGGGAAGCTATATGGAAACATCTGGAATCTTCGATTTTAAATTTTATGGCTGTATTTTTAATACGTTTATCTAAAAGTGTCATGCATCCTACAGGAACTTTTCTTTTCGTATTCGGCAAGAGAATAGTAAACTATAATCTCGTCTTCGATGATCTCCTTGATAAATGGACAAAGTGAACTACTGTTTCATTCTGGCATTAGATAAAACAAAATGATTGATAGCTTTTTTTTGTTTCTGAATTCTCCTGAACATAAAACAAAAAAAATTGTGTCGGTGTCAATCAGCCATATTTAGCTCTCGAAAATATACCATGTTTCCAACATGATTTCAAATGCGGTTTCAAAACTCGTTCAAGCGGCGGGCATCTTCACTCGAAGAAACCAGGAAATACAAGCAATGCGGATATGTTAGAAGACCAGTTCTGTGCTTTTCCTTTTCAGTTTTCGAGGAACTAGCCCGCCGATATTTAATAGGGGTTGCTTTCTTCCGCTATGTAGGTCACGTTCAACGCAGATTATTTTTATTTTGTCAACGTAACGTATATCTACTACTTCATATTTAGGTAATTATAATCACAGAGAGACTATACGCGTATTAATTATCACCCTTTAGATATAAATCCTAGCGAATCGTTTAATTGATTTAGTATCAAAACCTCACAGGACAGGTAGTCTGAGTAATTCACAGCTTTGTGTACGCCTTCAACAATCCTCACTCCAAACCTGTCTCGATCTCACGCTTGACACCTAAAAGTGCACAAAACCGCAAGACACAAGACAGGCATGGGGGTGCTTTCTTACTACTTTTATCATTAAAATTTTTATGCGCTAAATAGAACGCAGAGAGGCTTTTAATACCAATACAATTATTATTATTATTATTAATATTATTATTATTATTATTATTATTATGCATCTATTTAAATATCCTCTATTTATTTGTTGTAGAAAGATATAAATTGGGTCAAGCCGTACGCGGATAATTGCGTGAATGATAAGAGTTTAACTGCTGATGAATTTGGGATACCTCCGACGGGAGAAGATAAAGTGACAGGATTATCATTGCTTTGAAAGGATGTACATACGCATAAGGTTCATGACTCAACCAAGCACTATTTTGCAGTAGTTGCGATTTTCGACCTCTGTGGAATCGCTTCAAACTAATTAATTTGCGCTTATTTCCTTTACAGACAAATTGAACATGCAAATAAGTGACTAATTAAATGAGAAGATTAAAAGCTTGAACAAAATATTATAAAAGTTTGAAAACCTTCCTACCAAACGTTTCCGGAAACATCTTGTTCACTGAAATTGAACTGTAAATAAAGCTGCTAAATCAGATTGTTGGAGGGCTTCTGTCGGAACAGCATAGTAGAAACTGCATCGAGATTTAAGTTCAAATTTGAGTTATCATGTCGGTTAATGGCATGTTATCAACACAATTTTTTTTCAGAATGTTCTTCCTTCTTCAAAACTAGGTATTTTTTATTACTTTTTTGTTTGTTTTCATTTAAATGTTCTTACAAGAAGAAAATATAAAACAGAAACAGCCATGTCGTTACATGGGTAATGCTTCAATATCACAAATTAAAGCGTAGTTGGCGAAGTGAGAAAACCGGCTGAAAAATTAATTAATTAAGTTGGATTCTACGTCTTTTTCCTTTTTTGTGGAAGTTGCATAACTCTAGAAACTTATTTTCATGCTCTCTAGTGCCAAGGGAAAGTACAGATATTAGTTCCGTAGGAAGACAAAGAACGAAAGAGCCCGTGATAAACCAAATTAAATAGATTTCTGCAGCCTCTGCTGATGGACTCTCCGAGCGTAAAGATTTCGGAAGGAGACATAAAGCAAACTTGTATGGCCCTTCCTATATAAACGACTATTATGCATTCGCTTTCCTACCACGATCATACGATTTCACGATCATAAGATTTAAGGAAACCGACTATTAGATGTAGTATTTTAACCAAGAAGAAGTAAGTTTGACAAAAGGCTAGTGGAGAAAGTTTGAGCAAACTCCGCAGTTCAGTTGCCCTCTCACGCAATCAAACCAGGGAGAGGATGACGAAGAAGACGAAGAAGAACAGAAGGCAGAACAAAATTGACAAAAGAAAACCTTAGGACAAAAAACAAAACAAAACAAATAAAGCAAGGGAAAAAAGCGCCTCGAGATATAAACAAATAAATTATCATGATAAGCGGAACTTACGAAATAATGTTTAGTTTAACTGTTGCAATCACCAGAATTAGCTTAGTAAACGTGGATGGAGTTGTATCTCCATGGTTCGTAAGACTGGAGTATATTACTTAACAAGTAAAATGATCAGGCCCAAGTAGCCTTAACTCTTATAATTCAAGCTCATTGAAGATCTAAAACTTTCGTTTTAATCGACATTTATAATCAACTATTTTGTCTCTTTCATTCATTAATCAATTTTTAATAGGATTAAAGTTGCAGTGCAAGTCCTACATTGATCAGAAGTTCGCTTTTTCCAGCTCTTAAATATGTTTCTCCTCTTCTTCTGGGATGTAGTTATTTCTCTTAATGATGATAATTATGTTACTTCATTGTTTCATTAATATTTTTTACAGGGTCCAATATCTCAGCCTGCATTCCGCTCTTAAAAGGATATCTGTGTTTTTCCGTTTCATTCATGACTGCTCTGATAGTAATCTTTACCATAAAACATTCGAGCTGATATAGGTTCATCTACCAGACGGATTCCTGGAGCGTTTAATCTCCTTGATATAAAAACATGGACCGAATTTAATCGTATAAAGAAGTGATGTCATTCCTCCGATGAATTTGTGTCGATGGTCTTGTCCAGCTTGTTTTTCTTTGCATAAAGGGTTCACTACTTGATAAGCTGGTATTTTGCGAAAAAGCTGAATGCGTAGTGCGTCGAACTTTCGTTTCAGAAACTGAGGGTAAGCTGATTTCTTCTTGAGCTGACTGTTTTCTGACGGAATGTTCTGTTTTTGCTGACAACATCTGCTCAGTGTGTGATCTCGGTCGAGCTGGCTCCTTAGATCGTGATGAAAAATCAGTACTCCCCTGGGCACTTGAAGATGTTGATCGAGGTCTTTGTTGTGCGCCTAACGATGGAAGACTTATATGGGTTGAAGGTGGAATAAGCTGGTTGCTTTTTTGAGTAAAATGTTCATGTGAACCATTCAAGAGTTCATGCAGTTTCTTATTTCTCCTCAACATAAGCAATTGTTCCTGATTCCATGATTTCACCGCGATGTTCTCGTCCTTTCCCAGCTTGTTGCGTTTTAGGTTTAATCGGCGGTCCTCAAAAGAGTTCTGCTTCGACAAATTATTCCAAATTTCTCGTTCAAAGTACCTCGCTCTCGCTTTCCTCTGTACTTCATTCATATCATCTGGTTAGCTGCTGTCGTTTCTTTCACGTCAAACTACATTTGCCTCATTATTCTAATTCCTATTGAGTAAATCATTTGTAGGTTCTTTTAGTGTTCTGTACTTCATACAATAAGAACTGACCGGATCTACACCTATCTGGTGACGACGTCAGACCTATGATTACGTCAGTGGTTATATAAGCGGGTCGAAACCATGCAATGCTTCAGCTCTGTTCGTAAGAGAAACGGATACGTCCCACGAATCCTAAGGAACACGTAATTTTTGAGGCTAATGAGATCCTCTTCCTTTAGGCTGATCCTTAATCATACTCCTGATGAACTATTATATCTTTCGTACAAGAGAACCGTGACCGAACATTGTTATCATAAGACCTCTAACTGTAAACCGTTTTAAAAATTAGAAAGCACGGCGTATTTGCAAGCGTTAAACTACTTTTAACAAAGAGAGCTTTTTTTCTAAAGATTTTTTTCCCCCGCAAATACATCATTATAACCTCGAGTCCAATCTGAAAACCTGAAAAATGTATCAGCAATTTTCCATGTTTCAGTTAATTTGTTTTGCCCAAACTGAATTATATTAAGGGCAATTAATACGTCGGTCGAGTTCATTCTTTTCCAAGTTTTAGAGAGCTGACAGTCACATTATATTAGAGTATAACATTATCACAAACAAGTTCGATGGTTTACATTTTTTAAGCCTGTTGCCTATGATTCCTTTTAGCCTAGCTATTCATTCATGTACTCAATATTCTTTTGTCTCCCCTATTTGCACTCTGTTCTTTTTGTCCAAACTGACGATTTTTTGTACCGCGCAGATGAAGACTGAGGAATACCATAACTTGGAATCTTTACAGGCTAAACAAATATCGTGGATATTTTTCAGACAAAGGTCGACGTCTATTAAATAATAAATAAATAGTCAGATAGAGAAATTAACATAATAGGATAAGTTGCCGGTGATATTCTCCAACACACGTCTTTATCATTATTTATTTTATTTCATTTTTAGTTTCCTTACGTTCTGAAACGTTCGCTTAGTTTATTGACGTCACGCAGATGACGTGAAGGAAATGCCATTATTTATCTTACCGCGTGAATACACGAACGTGACTATTATTCTGAATCGAATCACTAAAAATAATGTTTTTTGTATCGTCGTCGCTGCTGCTGTTTGGACATGTTATGAACTTTCTTTAAATAAAAAGAATAATTTCAAAACACTAAACCTGGACGTATTCGAAGGTTAATACAGATAGACTCGATGAAACATTCATAATAATAATAATAATAATAATAATAATAACAATAATAATAATGACGGTGTCAACGATTAAAGTGTTACATACAAACGTAACAAATCATTGCGTGATCTAGCTCTACGAGATGTGCAAAAAAAAATGAAAATAATTTTGAATCTTGCGTAAATCACTCATTGCAAAGATTTCTTCGAAGTAAAGTTTTGTATTTACTCAGGCTGAGGCGAACGCTTGTCCGATAAATCATGAGGGCTATAAATAAGATGAAGAACGAAAAAATGATTGATGTAGTAGTTTGTGACATTCACTTGCTAACTGACATCGTCACATAAATTGCGTCACCCATTATAGTAATCAGTTCCTGCGGTCAAGAGGTTGATTTGATCAGGCTTGCAGTCGTCACATCTCTCTATGTGAAAAGTGAACACGATCTCACGAAGATCGACGTATTCTGGATGGAACAACGTGTTTTGAAGCATCATAAGGCTAAAGGTAAGGAACGTCTTTGTTTTATTTTCATGAAAGAGAATAATCGTAGTTCAGGCCTCTTTTCTGACGCGTAGCTGATGTATCTCAAAAAATGTCTTGAAGCATCAGCGTACGAAACCAGATAACAGAATACTAGGGATACACAGTAGTAAAAATGTTCGTTCAATTTGATTATGTTGCCGTTGATTTGGTTCATGTCTACAACGGTTTATGGATAGACGCATCTTTGATTTAGTTGATTGTCATGTATCGTTGATAATTTAAGGCAAATTGGCCACTGAAGCGAATATGGAAAAGATGTTCTTTCGAGTGTTGCCTTATGTCGCAATAAATTGGCCAAGACGTCAGCTACATTGGCTAATTCGCCTTCACTAACTGCACGTTGAAAACGTGAAGCGAAAGAAAAAAGGAAACCTTTGTTTCTCAATGTACGCCAACATGACATATCCTCTAACACAAGACTAACATGACATAAAAGCTTGTTGCAAAGACAATACAGTAAAAATTTTATTCTAAAATAAACGGATGGATTTGACTGAGTTATTTCCGATGTTTCAATCGAACTAACAGGCGACTTCAATTAAATCTGAATTTACCTATTCAATTACTGTGAATGAAATCTAGTCCTCGGTACATTACAAAAGTGTGAATGTTTCTATGATATCTACAGCATAACTAAAGTGTTTATAATAACATCCGTAATTTCATTTAGTTGATACGCCTGCGTATAAACTTATCGGTACAATTACTCTTGTCAATGATCGTTTAAAGTTCTAACATGTACTGATACAATACATCGTCACGAAGGTACTTTCTCGATAGCTTGAGCTGGTTCAAGTGACGTATTTATACCTTAATTAACTTATCCTAAATGAGGCTGCTTTAAAACAGCGTTTACTTGGTTTTGATTGATTTAATTTTATTTAGTAATTTACATGGCTATATCGCACTGATGTACATTGAGGCAGTTTCTTTCTACAGTTATTGGCGTAACATATCTCAGTGTATGCCCAGATAAGGAAAAAAGTTATTGCTTCATGCATATAGGAGCAGGTGTAAAAATTACTTTAGGTGCGTCAGATTTGACAATCAGAAAATAATTTATGAAAATAACTATTATAATTAAAAAACCTGTTGCGATGATTATCTGTTCATAGGCTGACTATATACTGAGTACATGATAACTTGTAGAAAACGCAAATTTCCTTCATAAGGTATGTTAATTCAAGTAAAACGTGTCAGAAATAAGTTGTGATGGGATACATTTTGCAAGTGGAAAAAGTGTTGCTTCCATCCACAGAGTTGGAGTTGAAAGGTATCTGGGAGTAGTTACTCACAGGTTCAAAATTGACCTGCCCACCAGGTATCCTGCCCTGATCCACATACCACACTGGCATGGGGTAGACATAGCGGGGGTTTGGGATCAGCTTCGTCGTTGATAGTGGTTGTGGAACATGGTTGTACTGTGGCAGACATTGCACATTAAGACTCTGGGAGTTTTGTTGAGCAGATGTCACAGGCACTTGAGGGACATAGGTTACTAAACTAACGGTGGAGGGATCAATGAACTTGGGGTCAAAGCCTGCATTGGTTGGTGAGGAGTAGGGTGGAATACTTCCTGCGTAATACGCCACGTTGTTCATCATTGGCATATTGGAATTGTAGGTCTGCATGCTGCTGACGTTTGGTGGCTTGAATTCTGCTGGATGGATCATTATCGGTATAGGAGGAGATGGATGTCCTGTGTCATACTTAAAGCCAACATTGTAACCTTGAGGGTTCTTGAACTTAGGACTGAACTCTTCGGGAGCCCATTCTGCTCCACTGTCTGTAGCAGCTTCAGAGTTTGTAGGCGAGGCAGGAACACCGTTAGTTTCTGGGCTGGCAGCATCATCTGTTTGAGGCATTTTAGTAGGTTTGGGTTTTGCACCAAGATACGCCAGGTCGACATTGGCTCGCCTACCGTCGATCATTGGCCTTTTGTTAACGCATGCTCTTTTGGCTCCCTCTTTAGTGGCCATAGTAACCTTTGAACGAGAAAAAGATTTAAAAATGTATATTACGAACACATCTTTCACGCAGATATAATTTTATGATGTATTTTCCCATCATGGAAATAATACTGATGCTTTACAGAAGCAGGTTAAATATCAGTGCATTAACCTCGCTGATGTAGTAAATAAGTCTACCACATACAGTTGGCAGTGGCAGAGAATCGGTATCTGGCTAAAGAATTTTCCTCGTGACCTAGTGACCCACATACCCTCACGGACAAACTCTCCGATAAAATTATTACATTCCACAGCCTAATTTTGTCACTCAACTTAAAATATGGTTTCTATAAGATCACTTACAAATCCGTATCCTTTGGATCTCTGACTGTTTCTTTCACGGATGATTACAGCTTCCACAATGTCATCAAACTGTTCGAAGTACTCCCTTAAAGTTCCGTCCGCTGTATTATAAGGAATTCCTCCAACGAAGAGTTTTGTGAACTTCGTATCTTCCTCCTCTTTCACGTTCGATCCGTTCAGAGACATGATATATCACTTTAATTATGAACTATGGAATGAAGAACGAATGACTTTCAGTGAAGCACTTCGCACAATTGCAAGACGTTCCTCTAAATAGGTTCTAGTGCGGACTCGGTAGTGAAACAACGGTCACGTATCTTTGAACAATAAAATAGAGGACACATTATCAAGGGATAGTTAATGCTGTTTGAACTTCAAATAAAACGGACATATCGATTTTTCACTTGATTAATCGTGCATGACTTTAAGACCTTCAAAAAGGATTACTGACCACTTAGGGGAAATGCTTACAATCTGACACCTCTCTAATACTGATATATGAAATTCACATTGAAGTGACTTGCATTCTGACATCCAGGGACACAACAAGGTTGTTTATTGTATTGTTAAGTGGAAGATTGTGGATGTATCCACAATCAGGATACAAGTATACCTCAACGCACCCTTGCTGGGATTCTAATTTGTCGAAGTGATTCCAAAGGAAAAGATAGAATTAAAACTTGAGGATTATACCTTCCATTTTAGACTATTTTTAAACATCTGCTGCTGGAGATCAGAACTTTATGAATAAATAATCTGCTTTGTGCAAAAAATATAAAAAATAGGAGTAAAGCACGAAAGAACCTGACTTTTGCCAGAAATTGATCGAAGATAGCATTTGCCCTATGATAGTTATTTTTAACATAGTGATCTAGTTGTAAGGTTACTACGTATCAAGAACCAAATCATCATTAGCAATGAAAAATAAGACGTTAAAATGTCCTCTATGCTAATCTTCTTTTTGACTCGTAATCTTTGTAAATATGCATATAAAATCGAAGATTCTGACTTTTAAAACGCGACCCTTTTGATAGATTACATGGGATTACATGTATAATTTGATATTCAACGATTTACCGCGAAGAATGTCTGAACAAAACATTTATTTAACAATCTGTGCGACTGTGATATGTTACAATGTCGGGCACTCGGAAAGACTTCAATCCTATAATGGACATTTTGATTTCCCAGATATCCTAAAGTATTGTACTGTTGTGCTTGGCACTTATAAAACAGAAATCGAGTGGCGACGAAAAAGAGAAGAAAAGAAAGAGAAAAACAAAAGAGAAAAAAATAAAAAAATAAAATAAAAATTTGGAAAACTCTCAATTTTGCATTCGTGGCGAAGGCGAGACTTAATATTTCTATCTTGTAACTATTCTAATACTTTAAATCTTACCTTTAGAGCTGTAATCCGTCGTCAAAGTAGTCTATAAGAAGAAAAACATCGACAGGATATGTTTTCGTTCTAAGAATTAAACAATTGCGTCAGTGAATCAGTGAAGAAAGTATTACAAAAACATAGGGCAAAATTTGTTATTGTTACTTCCATTTGAATATATTCTTCACCCTGGTGTTAATGACTCCGTTCATTGTAAACAGTGTGTTTAATTTAGATGAGGCAGATGCGTCAGTTTATTATTGAGCTGTTGCTTAAAATGACTAAAGCGTTCGAGCGTAAACACTCCTGATAACCAGTTATTTGACTGGTAATGCTTTCATCTTGAACAAACGAAAATTCTTAAAAAGATGTGAAAGATAAAATCATAGATTTTTGCACACCCTCAATTCCTTCTTGTTATCATGAATTCTAGAATCGAAATTAAAAAATCATGCAAAATAGTACATAAATAATGTTGCAAAATATGTACAAAACGATAATCTTGGATTCTGTGTGATGTTTCATTATTTTGTTCTTGTCTCTGGCAACTATTTCAAAACTTCCTGCGGTCAATTGAAAATGGTAGACGTTTTGCTCCTAATTTTAGGCAGAAATCACACTGTTTGCAACAGCCATGTGTTCGATTATTGCGAACTAGAAGTATAAAACATTATTTATAAGGGTTATACATGTAGAATCGAAGTCTGTCACATGATGATAAGATGATACAAGAAAGCTAAAGATTCGAAAGTTTAAAGAGGAATAAATGCGGTAAAAAATCTTAAACTAGTTACCTTTAAACACAAGTTCACAGATTTACAAATCTTGATCCAGAATATAACATACAAATACGACGATACCTTGATAAAAGTCCTGCGAAGCAAGAAGCAACTTGCCCAAATTTGTTTCACGTGAATATAAACCCACTTGTTGTGGGATAGCACATACTAGTTTGAGTCTCGTGAAACTCAAATGATCGCCGATCATTAAAGCTTGCACGCGTGAGGCTAGTTCCAGTGACGCGCTCCTCACGGGAGGTACATGTAAACTTGATTTGTTTCACGTGAAAAACCCGTTCATTTAAAGCCTTCTCGTGAAACTCAACTGATTGGGTATATTCAAGGACGATTTTGTGTACCTGAGTGACCGAATGCTAGGCACAAACAATTTTTTTTGTATCATTTCTGTACCAGCTACGAGGAATCGTAAAAATGAAAATTCATTTTCGCGGATGAAAGTAAAGGCAGAAAATGCTGAAGAGTGAATGGAACAGCCTTTTCCACATCAAAGAATTCTTGATATCCTTGAAAATGTCAAGGTCACTGTCAATTCAGAGACACGATGACTGTAATGCTAGACGTTACAACGCTCGCATTTCGTCTAATTAATGCAGTAGTGTCTGGTAATCATGGAGTTATTTTTATTGGGTTTCCGGCGAAAGGAAAAGATACAGACCCGGCTATTAAAATTCCTCAGTTAGTTAAAGCACCTAATGTACCAGACCATGTATTCACGCGAAAATTTGTTTTCTTTTTATCAGTAGTGTGGGTAAATGCAATCACCGGACAGTTTACCAGGATGAGCGAATAGACTATCACAGGATGGATATATCTTGTTTTGTTTCTTTTAAGCCGGAAAAATGATCAGCTCAACAGGAAGGATAAGAAAATTATTTTCCTCTCAAAAGCGAGATGCATAAAAAGCGGCCAGAACTTTTCAGTCGTATTTCTTTTAGAATGCTCATTTGGCTCAGTTCGACGAAGAAAATGTCTGGTCGCACACCTGACCTTTGATTCTTTAAAAAAATATATATGTATGTTTCAAAGTCCAGTAGATTTTTTTCTGTGGGTTCACTCTCCGTAACTACATTATGTAACCTTGTATCATAGGAACCTTACATTGAAGTGCAGTGTCAGCCAAAAAATTTGGACAGAAAGACAATATGTCTATTAAAAATATGACCACATTTTAGCAGTAAATGGGCCTATAAATATAAGCCCTTTCTCTAATTATAGGTGGCTAATCGTAGCTTGTATCTCTCTATACCTATTCAACTTACTTTTTTCTTCTAATGTTTGTAAAAGCTTGATCAATCGAACAAAATTGAGAACAAACAAAGAAATAAACAAAAAAAGAATGTTTGGAACTCTTGCACCATATTACGGCAGGTATGAAAACGCCGCGTCATACTAAGAAAAGAAAAGAGCATGAAATTGAACGAAAGTATTTTATAGTTCTTTAAAGAAACGATTAAGAGAAAATGGCTCTTTTACGATACAGTGACTTATTTGAAAGGGGTCAATATAGTTTTACATTAGTTACGCCACGTCAGCTAAAATTCATATCTAACTGTTAAACTCTAACTAACTACTGGCGATCTTTCCAGAACTTCCACGGTAAGAATTCAGAATACCGGATTTCCAACTTTGAAGACATTTCCAGGTTTGATTAACCTATTTTGCGTTTACTTCGTTTACTTCGTGTGGTGATATACAATCGTAGCTATTTCGATTTATATTTGTCTGTCTTTCCTATTCAATACTTCGGGCCATTTAGGCAGGTGTCACTCATTGCCCGGCGAATGTATTATTTTTTTTAACGTGGGTGGTAAAGTAGGCATCTTAGTTCAATTCCTGAGCATTATCTTTCCAACAGTACAAAAACTGAGATAGGAAATTAAAGTGATCACTGAAAGCCACATCTCTGTTCTTGGGCGTAATCTAGCTACGACTTTTCTTACCTTGCAGAGAAAGATCAATAACGAATTGATTTTGTGATAGCGATCCATCCCAGCAATATTCTGGAAAATTTATCTTAGTTCATTGTTGTGTTAAAAGAAATTTTGTATAAATTTGCGAGAAAACACGGTTTTTGCCTTAACCGTTGCATAAAAAGCGAAAAGTTGAATGAATGGCTAATAACGACAGCTTTGTTCGGTGTTTTAAAGCAAATATCACAAATTAATCAGTAGCCAGAGGGCGACTAAAACTGCCATGTCATATCTTTTAATATTATTACGTGCAGCTATCACCTGTTTTTCTCAGAGTGTCTAATACGCACTTCCCTGTTTTTGCATTAAACTTGCCAAGATTACAAAGTGCCCTCTCTAGTGTTATTTACAAGGGAAACTTCTGCTTTATTTGAAAATCTCAACAAACATCGATGAGTCACTGAAGATCAATCATTGAATCAATCGAGCATTGCTTCGGAAAAAGAAATCGTTTTCTATTAATCAATAAGCGTGAAAGAGGCTGGTATTTGAAGTAAACTGGTAAGGGAATCACTGATATAGCAGGAAAATGCTATGCCGTTGACTAACTTTAGAGGGTCTCAGTGAAGTTAACCAATAGCCGTGAAAGCCATCACCCCACTGAGACCCTCATTCAATGAAAACGATTTATTCATATATTCATTTCTTTATTTTTTGCCTAGAGGAGATAGATGTATTATACTGTGCGTTAAGATTTTTGGTGTTACTTTTACGGAGCATCTTCTTCTTTAAAGAACATCTGTATTGGCTTTGTTTGTTTGCCTTCATAAACATCGTGTAGTTATTTTTTTTTTTTAGGATAAAATGCAAACGTTTCTTGACAAGGCAAATATTCTACTCTAAGAAGACAGAACAATTATGGTTTGAAAGACAGAATATTAATTTGATCTCATAAAATACATCTGACATATATCAACAGTATAACACATCAAATGTTTTTGCTAATGCAACATTTCATTCGTTGTTTCTCTGTGAGAACAGAGCAAACTGTTCAAAGGAATCAAGAGCCATGCAAGGAAAAGACGTAAAGGCAAAATCAAGAAGAAAACAAGATGGACAAAGAGACGGCCAACGTGGTAAAAACGCGCAAATTCACGTGCACATGCCACATGCGCATCTAAGCGAAGGAAGCAAAAGCAGTCCCGTGATCCATCGGTATCGCACACGCTTGGAGCTAAGCAGCCGCTCACGATCAGAAGGAAACCTTGTTTCAGCACAAATGTTTGATTTGAAAAGTCAACGCGAAGTCGGTTTGGGACAAGCAGAAAAAAACCTGCATCTTCCAAGACTACAACAAAGTAAAACGACAAAAACCAGCCCAGTGATAGACAATGGTAAACTTAGGGTAAAGGCTGTTTACCAGCCAGATACAGACATTTCAAGAGCATTGTTGAGAATGTCTGGCTTAAGTGACAACTATCACAGAAGAATGCTAAATGAGTACATAAAAAAAGAGAATAGAGAGTATTTATCAAGCGACTCCAAAAGGGAAAGCTTATTACAGTGGCTTAATGAACAAAAAATTTCAAATACTTAACTACTGTTGGCCTCAAAGAAATCAGACCGAGAGGTAAAGCTAGTTCAAGGGTATCGTGCTCTAAAATTTTTACTTTCATCAAGATTATTGAATTCATTGAGGCTTGGAAACAAGACCTAAGATTAGCAGCTTCCGGGCAAATATTTTTTCCGCTTTTTTGTCTCTCAATACCCGGATCGGATTTGAGGATTACAGGATTTATAATATCGTGAATGCCATTATATTTGCTTCAATTAGTTGTCACTGAATTTTACGAATCGGAATCTTTCATTGGTTATGAAACATAACAGTTCCATGGAAGCGAATGTTTGAAATATTGCCGCGAGTTTCGTATCTTAGCCGGTTAACAAAAGGATATTGAAACATTTTCAATTAACTAAAAACTCGACGTCAGAAAAAACCTGTCAGAAAAGGGCTTTGTACACAACCAGCTTTAAACGGACAAGAAATGTATTTAAAGGAAAGAAGTAATTAAAACCAGCAGTGTGGAAGAACCTCATCTCTGTATTCATCCAAAAGTTAATGTAAGAGCGTGTCTGATACAACATCTAACACCTTGATTGACTTTTTCTGCCTACACATAACAAACTCTGAAACGTTAAAGCAAAATACACACGAGCCCTATGGACAAATCGGCGTGACAGAAAGTTACATTCTTTGATCCGTGTAAGAAGTGCGCCATAAACCACCCAACGAAATAACTGAAAGGCTTCCGACACTCGGAAGCAGCCTCAAGGAAATTTATATTTAAGAGCCCTTTTTCTTCTCACATAACAAACCTGACTCTTTTTAAATCTGGGATGTGACAATTGAATATAAACGGATATAGTTTGCGTGTATCGAGCCTATGGCATTCGAGAATCTTCACCCGAATTTTCAGAGACATCACGTTCGCTCCGTCGAGTGCTTATGTTTGCCCATGAACCAAATAAGGAAAAACTGTTAAAAGAACGCCCCAAATAAAACTTAAGTATATTGTTTATGCATCCTCATCGACCTTCATCTACCGTTTTCACACAAATCAAACTTCCTCTGTCCAAAATAAACATTTCCCTTATGTCTTGCACCACTTGCAAGTGGGGCAAATGTCCATGCTTTTGGAGGCTAAACAACACAGGTTTAAATTATTGAGACAGATTGAAATGGAAGGGTTATGGTCAAACACAATGCAAAGCTAAATACAGAAGCACACCTGAACAGAAATGTAGATCACCCTCTGAATGGATTATTTCTGCTAAAATACCCTTCAAATTCGTTTTATGAATGAAAATTACGCAAAAGATTGAATCAATTACCTATCAAAATTGCCTTTAACCGTCTTGATGCGAAAATTGCACACTATGAGTTCCTCAGCACGAAGAAGTGATTATAATGCTGAAAGCAAACTCAATTGATGTCGTTTATCAGTTTTCAAATTGACAACTTGAATACTTCATTAGATACCTAGTCAATCAGACATGACTTTGCCTTCAAAAAAATGTCTAAGGTTAACAATGTACAAGTTCACAAGGAGTAGTCCAATGTACATGAACAATCGAAACTGTACAAAGAGATAAAACATGCTTGAAAATGTCTAAGCCATCTTTTAATGAAGAGTGTGATTCTAAGCTCCTAAGAACTTACCTAGTCCAGGCAGCAGACAATGGGTTTTTTTGCTCAGACTGCACATGCATGCATCTTTGAGGTATGAAATAACCTATTATTTAGCCTAAACTATGCTTGCTGATTTAATTTTTCTGATTTCAAGCTTCAAGCTTAAAGAATTTTTTACTCATATCTGTTTGGATCAGTTGATTCATTTATTTCTCAAGATAGAAGCTCAAAGAATTGTAAGTTTGTTCATTTGTACAGATACTCATCCGAGTGCACAGGCCAGAGGTGTTTGTTGTTATTTCGTTTTTTAACTCTTTGCACTGGATCACATTGATAAGAAGGTGAACTGACGACTTTTTGATATTGTAATGTTGATCAATGAATTTCTAGAATGAAATTATTCGCAAGCTATAACAGAATAAAAAAGGAGTTACTTAATTCATTGGAACGGCCTTTCAGGTACATAGCCTAATGCTATTTAACAAGAGTAACTCATCCAGCCTATAGAAAATGCAGGAGATAATCTCGGCCATGATTCGTAAATGCAAACTTTGCGAAACACTGGCATGTAACAGAAATCAGCATGATGGAAGATGAACGCTTGTAAGAATATTTCTCACAGATGTCACTTTACATCTTGTAGCTCCACTCATAGGTAGAGTTTCCCTTCACACCTAACATGTCAAATTTTAATTTCCAATCTAGATCATATATGCCAGTTTATATATTTCCATATCTGCTGTATTGTTATTCTTTTTTTGTTTTTATTTCCATCCCAGTGTAATTAATTTTAACTTTTCTTGCCTTTCGTTGCAACTCTACCATTATTTGTAGCAATCAAAATCTGTTTATTTACGATCACACCTTTAAGAAGACTAAAAGATTGATTCATCGAATTTCACAAAGAAAAGGCTCTAGCTTGATGATGTCACCTTAGACACACCTACAAAACAATATTTGACGAAATTAAAGCTTTCGTTCCAAACTGAATCCCTAAAAGACTTTCTTTTAGCGAACTTGTTATTTTTGGATGTGAAGACAAATAATTCCAAAGAGCACATGCAGTCTTGTCAGCTACCAAAGAGTAAGAGTTATCTTTCTAAAATTCGTACCTTAGGAAATCAGTTTAAATTACTATAAGCTTGACTCCATATCCAAAATCACTATCTAACTAAGGCTTTGAAACTAACTGAAAACCTTACGTCCCGGCTCTCAGATTACGTCCGTTTGTCTTGCCACTTCAGTTTGCGAGTTGTCAGTTTCAAAAAGTTTTGTTTTAGTTTTATGAACTCATTCATCGCAGGCTACTTCTGTAAGCTTGAATGGAGGGCTGATAATTCTGCTCAAATCATCGATTGAGGAATTTGTTACTGGAAATTATGCTCGGAACGCAGAGGGACGAAGCAAACTGGATCTCCAGCGCTTCAGGCAAATTCACAAGCTTTCCTTGGAAGGGTAAAATATTTCTT